AAATAGAAAATATTTTTAAAAAATTTATATTTTTGTTTTGAAATACAAACAAAGTTATAAAGTATATTTAATAAGTTTTATTAATATATATATATATATATATATTTTATTTAATAGTATCTTGTAATTTTAAAAGGAAACGGTAGACTACAAGCATAATGGAATAAAAAATATTTATCAATGAGGATACGGTGGTGGGGGCAGATGATAACATAACATATGTCGTCTTTTTTTTTTTGGCCAAAAGCATGGCATGTGCAGTTAATTAATCAATAATCATCCGTGAAATATTGGATTGATAAAAACTCGTTTAATATCGTCATTACCCCTTGCTCAAAAAAAAAAAACTATCGTCATCACCCCGTCATTCATTAGGTAAGCTTCCACAACGCCGCAGCGCAATGTCTATTATCATTATTTATTTTGTCGTTTGGACAAACTTCCCTGCACTTAAAGTGTATGTCGCCTTTATGCTATCAAAAATCAGATTTTCTAAAATTTATATGCACCCAACACTGTACTAGTTTTTTTAATATATATAATATATATTGACACTGCCCTAGTTTTTTTTAGTGTATATATATTCCCAAGAATAATTTTTTTTTTTTAAAAGCATGAGTTCAAAAGAAGGAATCGACTTTACCAAAGAACAAGCTAGGAATCAACTTTGATGATACCAACCATTATTTATTTTTGCTGGTCCCTTGTTTTATAAAAATATTTTGGTGGTACCATTCTCCCACTTGGTTTCGGTGCATATTATCATTAAACCCTCTAATTTTCAAGACCGTAAACTTAAGTAATGGAACAGTCACAGCGTCATGAATACACAGCTAGCATAGTGGACTGGGAAGTTACCTGGTGGCTCCTAGGCCGACGTTGTGAGGGAAAATGGTGGCCTCGTAAACATTGTTATGGCCATGAACAGCATCAATCCCATAAATCATTGGAATTCCCAGCCTGGTGTCTAAAGCTCCCTTCTGAAACTCATTCACCATGTTTATCCAATCCTCTGCTGAAGCCTTCTTCTTCGGCACGCTTCCTCCTCCACTTAGCACGCTCCCTGCAAAAAATCACACCTCAATTTCTTGTATCTGCTTGTTCTTATCCCTAATTCCTTTCCCCTCCCAGACAAAAACGGAAGAACCAAGCAAGGTGAAACAGTGGCAAACTTCCAGGTGACAAAAGTAGTAATATTTTACAATTGTCATATACGTTTGTTGCTGTTGCTCACTCCATCTCCCATGAAAACAAAACCAGAGAGAAGACAAAACGGAGGTGAGACGGTGACATTACCGATGAAATACTTGTTCATGACCTCATAAGAAGCGACACTGCGATCAATCTGCGTCATTTGTCCTATTTTTTCTTCCAGAGTCATCCTGTTCATGAGATCCCTGATCCGAACATTCAATGGCTGTTTTGGATCTTTATACTTGGCATGCTCCGTCTCTGCCAAGGCGAACCAACACCGAAGGAGCAGAAGCCCCACAAAGAAAATGGGGATTTTCGCCATTCGTTTGCCTCGATCAGCAGAACTTCACAATGAGACCTGAATATGAGATTCAAAGAGTGATAAACTAGGCTTATATAATATCCCAATTAAGTTAGATGGGGAAAACAAACAACGAGAATTTTCCGATAATATGCAGAACGATTTAATCGCAATCACGGACTGAACTGACGAGTCTGAAAATCGCCAGTACAATCCCAACAGATTCCTAAACCAAAGATACTCTCAACAACGGAAAACAGAAAAAATGGGCCGCGTGAAAATCGTGAACCAAAATGCAAAACAGAAGCTCAAATAAAACATGGAAAATTCGAGTACGTTGCAGTTGATTGGTGAATTGAAGAAAATAATAGAAACGGAAGTGGTGGAAGCGCAGGATAATAAAATGCAGGGAAGGAGATTAGAGGAGTGAGTAAAATGAGCTGTGTTCGTACCCTGGAGGCTGTGTGGCTCCCTTGCGGAAGAAAGAGAGGGAGAAAAGAAGGGTAATTTATTTGCCGACAATGGCAAATCGCTGCGCATGTTACAGAATTCCAATCTAAATATATATATAGAGAGAGAGTCTCAAAATAGTAACAAGTAATATGCAAGCCAGACTGTGACCACGCCGTCGCCCGCTCTGATTTTTTTGCAAGCTGAAGTATTTATGACTCACCATCTTATCCCCCTTTTTAATTTTGTTTTATTTACACCTTTTTAATTTTATTCATATCTATAACCCTCATTCTTACTCTTAGCAATAAGAAAATCAGAATTGACCTGAAATTGAACTTCTCTTACAACCATGTTGAGTTGCCCCCCCCCCCCCGGGGGGATGAAATTGAATTCAATCTCTCTCTTTCTATTATTTGAATGTATTTTGTCAACAGTGACGGTTTTTTTTTTTTTGCTGGTCAAAAAACAATAACGGTTTTTTGTCCTCAGGGATGAGACTGAATTACTTTTCTTCTAATTGAATTTTATTTTGGTCAAAATATAATTTAATTTAGTTTTAATAATGGATATTTTTAACTAGGGATCAAATTGAACTTTTTCGTTCTTTCCATATTTGTACACGTGCATGTTTATATCGATATATATATATATATAACAAATAATTAATTTGTGGCTGGAAATAATTAATATTTTTGATTCAGAGTACATGGATGATCATTCAGTTAAAGAAGAATTTGGATCCCCTCAATGAAGAATTATATTAATTATATTCAGACTGTGATTTAGTAGCATTGAGATCGAGAGTAGTGACTATTAAAGAGTACAAATTATTGAATTGGGATATTTTGGTTAAGAAATTTGAATGGATAGTAATTTCTAGTTCTAATTGAGTATATAAAATACTGACTGCGGATATTAAAAATTCATTCAGAATTAACCAGATAGATCGATACAGGTCCTCTCAGAACATAAAAGAACATTTGGCCCAAAAAGAACATAAAAGAGCAAATTGAGCGGGGATAATGATGGTGGGGGAGCTGCCTCACGTGCGAACATTATCGCACGAATGTTGCTGTCAATATCATTAAAGATAGCCAGCAGTCGCTTGTCCAAGTAGTTAGAAACTTAAACAGTTCAGAGTCTTATATTCAAGTCTCTGAGCATGCAGCAAAATATCTGAGCATGGAGAGGGAGAAAAGAAGTAACAAGTAATATATATATATATATAACAAATAATTAATTTGTGGCTGGAAATAATTAATATTTTTGATTCAGAATACATGGATGATCATTCAGTTAAAGAAGAATTTGGATCCCCTCAATTAAGAATTATATTAATTATATTCAGACTGTGATTTAGTAGCATTGAGATCAAGAGTAGTGACTATTAAAGAGTGCAAATTATTGAATTGGGAAATTTTGGTTAAGAAATTTGAATGGATAGTAATTTCTAGTTCTAATTGAGTATATAAAATATTGACATGCGGATATAAAAAATTCATTCAGAATTAACCAGATAGATCGATACAGGTCCTCTCAGAACATAAAAGAACATTTGGCCCAAAAAGAACATAAAAGAACATAAAAGAACAAATTGAGTGGGGATAATGATGGTGGGGGAGCTGCCTCACGTGCGAACATTATCGCACGAATGTTGGTGTCAATATCATTAAAGATAGCCAGCAGTCGCTTGTCCAAGTAGTTAGAAACTCTTATATTCAAGTCTCAGAGTATGTAGCAAAATATCTGAGCATGGAAAGCATGTTTTGTTAGTGACAACCACAAAACTTTCTGAACGAGGGTCCTACTTAAACAGGAGTTTAGATTAATTTAGAATGATTTAGAGTGAATTGAGCAGATAATAAACCTAACATACCTGAATATTTTAGGATATCATATGCAAAAGTTTAAAAAAAAAAAAAAGTCATTAAAGATCAGAGCGGAGGTTTCAAAGACGTAATCGTGATAAAGTGGCTCTAAATCTGTCCACGCTCCAGTCAGAATTATCAGTTATCATGACGAAATAAAAAGACACTTTCCAAAATTTTACTAATGTTTGTTTCAGTTTATTAAAAAATTACTTAATTTTTGGAAAAAAAATTGTTTTATAAATTTTTGTAATGTTTGTTTAAACATTTAAAATAATTAAAATATTAAAATATAATTTTTTAATTATTTAATAAGCTTCTTTAGATATATTTTAAAATAATTTTACGTAATAGATGAAGGAGAATATTTTAAAAATATAAGATATATGAAAATATCATAAAATTTTAAAATAATTAAAAATAAATTATTTTTATAAAAAAATTAAGAAAGATAATATAAAATTTAAAAATAATTAAATTTTTTATTATTATAATCAAATATAAAATAATATAATTTTTCATAAAATCTTTATAAAATAGTTTTTTATAAAATTTTTAGACTACATAAAAAAGACCCTGATTATCTCCCCCATGTGAGGCACTTTAACAGGCCAGACTTCAATACTGCGAATGGATTTTTCGTTCACGAAACGGCGAAACCTTTCTGTTGACTAGACGCATTTTGGTCGTGTTTGGAGGCCATCGGCCCACCGCATGAGACAGTTCATCGACTTGGCAATATTGACGTCGGCCCAGAATTCGGTGAAAGCATCGCATTGGGTGCTCATTTTTTAACCTACGTGGTCCGTAACAAAATTTTTGTTATATTTTATCGTTTATATATTGAAAAAAAAAATCAGTTTATTTTAACAGAACATAATCTATTTTGGACTATAATAAGCTTTTTTTACCAAGATAATTTACCATAATACTGTTGAAAAAAATTATTTACCAAGAAACTATATTGTGGAAATATTTACCATTACACTACAAATTAAAACTTAGTTTGATGAACACCAAGTTCTAAATTTCTCTGTGTCAGCTTATATAAAACTTAGGTTCTGTCTGGTATGTAGGTCTCAATTTAGAGGGATTGGGATTGGGAGTAGGAGTGGAATTGAAATTGGAATTAGGAGTGGGAATGAGGTCTTAAAATCATGTTTGATATGAAGTAACACTTGTGAGGAATACTTCCTTTTATTTTATTTTATAATTATATATAAATTATGAAAGACTGTAATACCCCTTAAAATTAAAAAAAAATTGATTAGAAGCCTTTCGAAGAAGCTGCAGGTTCTGAAGGAATTTGAGATGTTCTTCGTGTGTGTCCTCTTTATGTTAATTCCTAAGCTTCTTACTGTTCTCGTTCATGGAGATTTCTGTTCTTCTTCGTGCGCAACTAGTCTCTCGCCTCTCCCTCACAAGGACAAAGCCAGGTTCTCCTTTTACTTGCCTCATTGATGCAACCACGACCACCAAGTCCAGGACGTGTTTGAACTCATCGCACTTCAAGGGCAAGTGTAATGACTTCATCTGATAGATCGAATCTCACCAAGGTCGCCACCAGTGGAGGAGAGGCTTGGGTTGTTGGCCATTCTCCTTCTTCTCTTATCTTCAATCTCCTTCTCCCTTTAGATTTGGTGGTGGCACTGGTGGAGGATGGTGTTGGCGTCGATGGAGGAATGCATCAACGTTGGCGGATGAGAAGGGCATCGATGTCAACATTGCTTGGTCTGAAATTGCATTAAATGAGTAAGGGTTGAGGGAGAGAGACGAGGGTGAAAGGTGAGGATAATTTGGTTTGAAAATAATTAAACCCAAGATTAATTTTTCAATATCATGGGGTGGTGGTATTGGATAATTTCACCTACGTGAGATTGGAATTGAGATTAAATTTCTCACTTCCTCGTACCAAATATAAAAAGGTGGGATTATTTAATTCTAATACCAATCCCACGCTCCCAATCCCTCCTACCAAACAAGACCTTAGTGTCTATGAGACCAACTTTTATATTGATGTCAGATGATAAAAAGTATACCTGTCACTCTATCTCTTCTTACACACACCACCGTCTGTATATCGGCTCCCAACCCCTTGCGCAAACAATTCCTGCTCCCCTTTCCCCCTCATACATAATTACATATAATACAAATGTAATATAAATTATTTAGATAAAATTACATATTTACAGTATATAAATTTTAAATTTTAACTAAATACTTTCTAAATAATTATAAACATCTTGATAAAAATTATCTATATTTTTTAAATTTGAGATTACAATTGATAAGACATAAATAAATATGCATACATGTTTATTTTATTTTTTTATTTAAATAGTTATATACAAGCTTTGAGAAAATAAGCCTTATCATTCACACAAAATTATATATGAGATAAAAATATGAACAACTTTAAAAAAGGCACGTAATTTGTAAAATTTCTTGTGTATGTTTAAGATTTTTAATAATTAGGACATTATTAGGTCCTATTTTTTTATGATTTTTTAAGAAAAAATCAGGATTTTCTAAAAATAATACCTTTTAAAATTTTACTATGATTGTTTAACAGTGTAAAAATATATAAAAAAAGGATATTTTTATTTTTTATGAATATAGTTCAGGTAAGTTATAAGGATAATTAAATTTAGGGATATAATAAAATGTGAAAACCTCTAAATAATAGTTAAACATATATGACCTAATTCTTAAGAATTTTACACATATATGATCTAAATTTTACAAGTTACTTGTTTTTTAAGGTATTTTACATTTTTATGTTATACTCCTTCTGTTAAAAAATGTAAGGTATTTTTTAAAGAATTAGATATTAAAAATGTAAGACATTTTTAATTTTTTAAGGTACAATCATTTTTTTTTTTTTTTCAAAAGTACCCCTAATGATAATAACTTTATACTTATTATAGAGTATTTAATAGGAGTAAATATAAAAAGATAGGGTTAGTTTAAAAGTAGGTAACTATTTTATTGGAGGATGAGATTCAATTACAAATACTTTATATTTTTTAACAGAGGGAGTATTTTTTTTTTGGTGAATGATAAGGCTTATTTTCTCAAAGCTTGTATATAATTATTGGAGAAATTTTATTCAAGAAAATATTCTATAAATAAAAAATATTCTATACAAATTGATATCACCAATGTCCAGGGTCATATATTATAATGTATTGCACTACTGATCAGGGGTCATGTAGAGTTTATGATAGAAGTTTAATTACCTCTTGGTGTTGAAATCTTCGCTTCAATCTTGGCACGAAGAGGAATGTGTGGACATAAATCCAATCATTCATGTCACTGAAGAATTGAAAATAGGCTTGTCATCATGAACTTCTGAGGATCAAAGTTCCACGGACTCTCCAAAATTCTATGGTAAATCCAAACGGCACGCTGATGTAAAATCTTATGGTAAGTTCCACAGACATGAATAGCACTAAGATTTAATTTAATTTAATTTTACTTTAAATTTCAAACCCTCCAATAATATTTAAAAAAGAGTAAATGGGCAAAAATATCCATTTAGGTAGAAACATCCAGTAATCTAAAATAAAAAAAAAAGGACAAAAACACTCATAATATTTTCAAAATTGATGCAAAAGTGAGCAAACCATTAACTTTTCATAATGTTCGTTAGTTTCTACTGTTAAATACTAACCGAACTTGTCACGCATCAATAGTTGCTGATGTGGATTAAAAAAAAAGGTAAAAATATCTACAAAATTGTTGGCCAAGAGCATATAAAAACTTAAAGTGAGAAAAGAACAAGCTTATTCATAATGTTGTTTTAATAGGTAATAGTGACCAATATATTAAAATCCATGCTAAAAACAAACTAACGTGCCTTGACTCAATTATTTATCCTCTCATAAGTTTTAGCTTGTAAAAAAAAGGAGAAATGATAATAAAATTCCTTCAAATTATGTAAATGATAATTTAATTTTTTTTAAAATGTTATAATATCAATGAAGTCCTTATAGACCTTTTTGTTAATAACTTTTTCATTTTATCCTTACTGAAAATAATAAAATCTAATCACAACTTTTGTTTAAGGAATCACAATTTTTATTCTGTAAATCACAAGAGTTGAACAAGAAATCACAACTTATCAAATATAAATTCTATTAGTGAAAAACGAGATCCAATAATTACAACTTTTGCTTAAATAATAACAACTTTTGTTTTGTGAATTACAAGAGTTAAACAAAAAATCACAATTTTTTAAATGTAATTTTTATTATTAAAAAAATTCTCAAACTAACAAATTTCATTCACAACTTTTATTTAAAGAATTACAACTTTTTTTTTAAAGAATCGCAAAAATTAAAGAAGAAATTACAATTTGTTAATAAGGGTAAAATTATCTTTTCTTTAAAAAAGTTATTGACAAAGAAGTTTCTAGAGACTTCATTGATATTATAATATTTTGAGAGATTAAATTATCATTTAAATAATTTAGATAAATTTTATTATCATTTTCTCAAAAAAAAAAAAAAAACAACAACAACAAGGCTGCTACAGTATTGAAAGAGAAACGAATAGAGAATAGAAAATACATTACTAGAAAGTACAATTATTTATTCCCATAATTTTATCGAGTTTTGCTTTTATTTTTAATAATTTTTTCAATTTTTATAATTTCAAAAAAATAGAGTGAATTTTATTTTTTAGATTTCTATAATTTCATTTTTTCAGTGCTTTGTTTCTACGAGAACTAAAAATACTAAAAAAAAACCTATAGGTACTAAAAGTAAAATTCAATAGGAGGCAAAAAATTATTTTTTTTTCCTACGTTATTTAAGCACCGAATCACTCAATCAGGAGTTTGCACGTGAGAAAAGGTCCTGCCGCCCTTGCAGTTGGTTGGCAATTTTAGCGATTTGCTCCTCCAAGTACCTAAATATTCAAAAGTTAAATACAATGATGATAACAAAAAACAAAACAAAACAAAAAATTAATACTCCAAAATATGAACGCATACATAATTCATTCAATTGTGTCAGTGCATTTTTGGGAATATTCACAACTTGATATAACCAATGTCAGGGGTCATATATTATAATATATTATACTACTGATCAGGGGATCATACGGTTTCTTGTTATCAAGGATAATATAAATAATTAGGATGGAAAGTAATTACCTCTTGGTGTTGAAATCTTCGCTTCAATCTTGGCACGAAGAGGGATGCTTGGACATAAATCCAATCATTCATGTCACTGAAGAATTGAAAATAGGCTCGTCTCCATGAACTTTTGAGGATCAAAGTTCCACACACTCCCCAAAATCCAATGGTGAATCCAAAAAGCACGCTGATGTAGAATCCCAGGTTTTTCAGTTGATTAGAATTTGCTGCTTCTCTCGGTCCTCTCGGACATTCTTGACTAATAGGTGGGCCACAAAGTCCTTGGTTTCCTATATAACTGGAAGCCTCAAAGGTCTGCATTTGGGGGCCGCGAGGAATTTCTCCTGATAAATTGTTGAAGGGCAAATTCAAGACCGAGAGAAAACACAAACTCGAGAAGCTTGCTGGAATTCCACCATAAAGAGAATTGCTTGATAAATCAAGTGCCCCCAAATATTGTAGCTGACCCATGTTATGGGGAATGAATCCTGTGAGACTATTGCTTGAAAGATTTAAAGAATACAATCCTGAAAAGTCTTGTTATGCTATCAAGGATCTCCCCTTGTAAGTGATTGTTAGATAGATCAATTGTTGCTAAAGACGACAAAAGCATTGAGGGCATAATTACACTTCCTTTCCATACCAGAATTGCCCTGTCCTTGAAAACGTAGTCAATAGTTTCCCTCTCACGATCCTCATTTGAATAAGAAATCAGCTGTCCCGGCGAAACCACACTTGTCATGGAAAACAAGGAGTCAAGGCAAGGAGGTATGATTCCTAGAATCTCATTCTGAGAAAGATCCAAGATTTGAAGATGCATTAGATTACATATGGTTGTAGGTATGTTTCCTTGTAACTTGTTTGCCCGTAGAACCAAAACAATCAAATTAGGCAAGTTATTCCCCAACGATTCAGGTGACATTCCACATAAATTGTTCTGTCCAAGATCAATGAACAACAACAGGGTAGAATTCATGAAAGATGGCATTTCGCCAGAGAAGTTGTTGTCATTTAAATGGATAGACTTAATGTGATTCAAAGTACCAATTGAATTGGGTATTTCACCCCACAATTTATTAAATGCCAAATTCAGAAACTCCAAGTCTTCAAAATACTCCCAATGATTTGGAAGTCTTCCTGACAATGAATTATTGGACATGTCAACAAATAGTAATCCTTGTCGCGTAGTGATCTCTGGCACGGTGCCATGGATTTTGTTATTGGAAAGATCCAAGTATTTCAAACCTGGAGTCAAGTCCCAAAACCACTCAGGAATGTTATAAAAAATTCCACCGTCAGAAATATATAGAAACTCCAGTCGCTTTTGATTTTTGAGCCACAATGGAAAGTTAGGACCGATTTTACATGATGATGCAAATAATTGATACAGTTGAAAAGACGGCACCCAATTTGAACTGAAGTTAAAAGAAATTAAATTCCGGGAGACATCCAAAATTCTCAAATTTGATAGAGTTGATATATGTGCTTCACTGATCAATCCACTTAAATTATTTGAAGAAAGTATCAATGTATCAAGATCAGAAAGTTGACCCAGGGTGTTTGGAAGGAACCCATTAAATTCATTGTGGGACAAATCTAGAGTCCTCAATGATAGAAGTTGCGTGAACCCTGACGCTAACCCACTCAAATTGTTCTGACTTAGGTCCAAATGTTTAAGACTATGCAGGGGCCCAAATGATTGTGGGATCACCTGTGAAACAGACCCACAGAGACTGGTATTTCTAAGGCGTAGTGTCACCAAAGATGAAAATGATGAAAAATTAGGAAATGGTTCACTGACGAATGGGTTTTGACTCAGATCCAACTCCTCTATACCATTTTGGAAGCAACATGATTGTTGCATCCAATGACTTAGTTGTCCAGACAAGTTGTTGAAGGACAGCAATAACTGTTTGAGTTGGCACGAATTACAAAAGGATTTTATTGAGTTAATCCCAAGCTTATTGTAAGAAAGATCAAGATATTGAAGAGAAGTCAATTTATGAAAGCATCTGGAGCAATATGCTGCAGAGAATTAGATGAGAGGTCGAGATGTACGAAGACTTTGCTCAATTTAAACACCCAAGATAGTGTCAAAGAGCTCAAATTATTTCGTCCAAGATTGAGGACTCTCAGATGAGTGGAAGAGTTCATGTGGTAAGAGGGTATGGGATTGACTTCAGGAAGTTGACTGTCATTTAAGTGAAGCTCTATCAAAGAAGGGATTTTGCTTATTGATGATTGCCAGTCAGTTGCTCGAATTAGATTAACTTGTGCCAAATCGAGATATCTTAAAGAAGAAAGGTGAGAAACCCACTCAAGACTATTCGAAATTACATTATAATTACCTCCAAGATCAAGAGTTTGAAGATTGGACAAACTCTGCAATTCACAAGGAATGATGCCTGTGAGTTTAGCTTTTCTCAGTTTCAACTCTGTCAAATCACCAAGTGAACCGATGCACTTTGGGATCATTTGTCCTTCAAAATCATTAAAACTGAGATCCAACAAAGTTAGACGCTGCAACTCACACAGTGAAGCATTGATTGTACCTTTCAATTTAGTAGAACGATCAGAAGATGTGAGATTCAAGTGGGTGACATGACCAGTTAAATTATTGCATGAAATTCCTTTCCACTCGCAGCAATCAACTTCTCTTTCCCAGGAAGAAAGAATGCCCCCTTCATCAACAAAGTCATCTTTTAACTTGAGAAGTGCTTGCTTATCTGTCTCTGCGCAACTCTTCATGTTGGAATTTCCTGCACATGAAAAGATACAAAAAATCTCAATGAGACAAAAGAGGTAGAGGCCGAGCTTAGAGTTAAGCATCTTTGGGATTGTTTTGGGCATCAAAAAATGAAGAACAGGTGGGCTTTGTGGGGTGAAGTGAAACCTTTTGGTCATTTATAGACACGAAATTCTCAGAGGTATTGGATGATATCACATGAGATACTGCCCCTCTGATACGAGTCAATCACGGTTACTAATTAGAGTCATGATAACAAACATTGACTTATAATCAACTTTGGATTTTTTAAAACAAAAACAAGAAAGAAAAAAAAGGGAAAGACTTGTAAATTGTAATCAACTGTAAAGTTATGGTACTTTTTGCAAAGATAAAAAAACAGAATACAAGTCGAGTCAATTTGCACATAGTCTATTAAATTATACGTTTGGCCATTTCTTTATGTCACGTTATATGACATCATCTTGCAAGGCATTGGTGAACCATTTTTCCTGATAAACTGGAAGGACAAATTCAACACCCCAAGATAATACAAACTTGAGAAGCTAGCTGGAATTCCACCAGAAAGAGAAGATAAATCAAGTGACTCCAAATATTGTAGTTGAGTATTGCTTGAAAGGTTTAAGCAAATTAATGCTGAAAGTTTTGTCATGCTGAAAGGTTTAAGAAATCAGATTTCATTAACCATCAAGGTATGTGTTTGGATTAAGAAATCTGTAACTTAATTAGAAATTAACTGAGGCTAGTCAACTGAAATTAGAAACAACGTTTGTAATTATAACGTGATTTATGTTTGGATATTTTTTTGTTAGAAGTGAGTTGGATAAACTAAAATTTATTTGGATGATTTGATTTAAAAATTAATTGAGATGTATAATTATAGAAATGAGCATGAATTTTGTTCTATATATTTTTTTGTCTAATATGATATTTTTAGAAAAAAATTAAACTTAAAATAACAAGTTTTCAAAAAAAAAGTAGATTACAAGTATAAAATATTTAGTTATGGTTATTTCATGAATATTAAATTATTTGTATAGCATTTTGTTCCAACCTTGTCGGTCAAAAAATATAAAAAAATATAATTTTGGATCCTTACACTTTACTCAAGTTTTGCTATAGGTCTTTATTTTTTTTTATATTTTAAATCCCTACACTTTTTATTTTTAATATTTTAGGTCCTTCAATGAGTTATGTTATAGGAATCTAGAACAGTCAAAAAAAATGTAGGGACCTACATTATGAAAAAAAATACAAGGTCCTATAGTAAAACTCAAGCAAAGTATGAGAATCTAAAGTTATGTTTTTTTAAAAAAATTATATTAAACTAAATTATGAATGATGCCATTTTTTTTTAATTTATTATTCAGATACAGTAAATGTGATTTGTATCGGGCGTTGTCAGCGTATTTGCCTGTTTGTTTTGCGTCCAGAATGAATTTTTTGGTGTTTAATCGATTTTTAAAATAAAATTAGCCAAACAGCATATAATTGCCATAATCGATTAAACATGTTAAAATTGATTTTTTTTTAAAGCTATTCATACCTGCTTTTGGTTCTCATTTTATCGTATTAATTTTTCAATAATTTATAATTGTATTAAATAAAATTTAATAAATTTAATAATATTATATATGAATTTATTGATAATTTAATTTTGTATGATAATTGATTATTGAGCCAGAATCATGTTTTAAAATAAACTTTAGGAGGTTACTTATAGATTCAATTTTACTATTAAATAATATGTTTTACTTCTTAAATAAAGTTTAACAAATTTATTAATATTAAATACAACTTTATCAATAATTTAATTTTTAAAAGTAATATTTTTTATAATAATTTATACAGTTAAAATTAATTTCAATATCTAAACATTTGTGTTATAACATAATTAATTATAATTAAAATTAATTATATTAAATAATTATTTTTATAATTTATTATATTTAATTGAAATCAAAACAGGTACTTATTATGTTTCAATGTACATTTTTTATCATTTGAAAATTGTCTCATTTAATGAATTAATTGTAAAAAAAAATGAGAAAATGCATGTGACATGTCACAAGGGTATGAAGGGCAAAATTATTGTGGTGAGAAAAAAGAGACACGTGCCAAATATTAGATAAAAGTTAAAAAATGATAGTAAGAAAAGGGGATGAAAAGCAACGAAGAGAGAGAAGATAAGATGATTGAAAGTGAAGGCGCATTTTTTGTGATCGCTCGATAAAAAAGCTACCTCATCTCGTTCTCCATAAATGCTCGTTCAATTTTTTTGTTAATCCGAACAAGATTTCGTGAGGTTTTCTCAGTTGAAAGATAACCAAACATACCCATAATCATGATGAAGTGACACTAAGGACTCACTTGGATTTTAATTGGGCAATAATTAATTATAAAAATAATTGATTAACATGATTAATTTTAATTTTAATTTTAATTAATTATGTTACAACACAATATATTTAATATTAAAATTAATTTTAATTATATAAATTATTATAAAAATATCACTTTTTAAAATTAAATTATTAATAAAACTGTATTTAATATTATTAAATTTGTTAAACTTTATTTAAGAATAAAATATATTATTTAATAGTAAAATTGAATTTATAAGAAACTTCTTAGAGTTTATTTTAAAATGTAATCTTGGCTCAATAATCAATCATCAAATTAATTGGTTGCTTGGATAATTTTTCTGAAAATCAATTATTTAGCCTCAATAATTGATTTTTTTTTGTCAATCCAAACCTGCAGTAAATCTATCCACGCTTGAGTCAGCATTATCAACTATCATGTCGAAACAAAAAGACATCTTCCAAAATTTTACTAATGTTTGTTTCAGTTTATTAAAAAATTTCTTAATTTTCAAAAAAATTATTTTATAAATTTTCATAACATTTGTTTTAAACTTTTAAAATAATCAATTTTTTAAAAAAAATTAAATTTTTAATTATTTTAATAAACTACTTTAAATATATTTTAAAATAATTTCATCTGATAAATGAGAGAATATTTTAAAAATGTAAGATATATGAAAATATCATAAAATTTTAAAATTATAAAACAAAAATTAAGAAATATATTTTAAAATTTAAATATATAATTTTTTTTATTATTATAATCAAATATAAAATAATCTCAATTTTTCATAAAATCTTTATGAAATAATTTTTTTATAAAATTTTTAAACTACATAAAAAAGAGGCCAGACTTCAATACTGCGAATGGATTTTTCGCGCACGAAACCCTTCCGTTGAATGGCCGCGTTTTGGTCGTGTTTGGAGGCCATCGGCCCACCGCATGAAACAGTTCATTGACTTAGCGATATTGAACGTCGGCCCAGAATTAGGAGAAAGCATCGCATTGGGTGCTTGTTTTTATACCTACATGGTCCCTAATTAAATTTTTGTCATTTTTTATCCCTTATATATTGAAAAAAAAAACTGTTTATTTTAACACAACATAATCCATTTTGGACTATAATAAGCTTGCCCGACAAGAAATACGGAGGTTTTCAGCAGTTTTTCTGGACTCATATTAGGATGCTGCATTCTCGTGCTTGGTCTTGTAAATAAAATAATTCAAACGATTAGCACTATGTACATGGGATTTAGTCATTTATGTATTGTGAAGTTTAATTAGAGGTATCCTCTTTAATTACCGCAATATTATAACTTTATAAGTTTATATTTGACAAAAGTCAATTTAGAAGATCTAATTATTTATTGAATCTGATAAAAATATATTTTAAATATAATTTGAATGTATTTTTAAAGATAATCTAAACAGAAAAAATCAATTACAGCATTCTGGTCCCTGCCAGCTGGCATGACACCATATTTTTACTCATTTTACTGGGAGAATTAAATAGGGAGAATGGCACTAAAGGTCTTAAAAACAAACTTTATTATAATTTAGATTTAAATAAATCTGATATTGCTCTGTAGGCCTTGGGGCCCTTATTGCCAATTTTCTTAAAACCAAAAGTATGACTTTGCCCTTTGCTTGATTTAAATTCAGAACCTGCGTGAACCCTTGAAACAATGAAATAGACTATGGACAACACAACATCTACTATCTACAAGACGATATCTACGCATGCTCAACAAAAAGTCCATGCATTTCAAGTATTTTACTAGCATTGATTTTAACAAAAATGACAAGGCAAACCATACACGACACAGCATTCACTATACACAAGACGATGTCCATGTGTGTTCAATAAAAAATCAATGCATTTCCAGTATTTCACTAGCCTAGGCTATAATAAAATGACGTTAGGCAGACCATGTACAACACAACATCCATTATACACAAGACGATGTTTACGCATGCTCAATAGAAAGTTCATGCATTTCTAATATTAAGAAGGACAATTATATTAAATATGAATAATTTCATGTTGGTATTAGTCTAGGTACTAAAACAAGTACCCACATGAAATTTGACATAATATTTCAAGTCTGATATACACAAAAAGTTAGCCTCTATATCCAAAATATCTAACAGTTGTTTCTTTATATATAAACAAAAAATATCTATGATTTTCAATTACCCAAAAAATATTACT